TATCAACAAGGGAATGACATTGTGAATGTCTCCCTTACGAACATACTGACCCGAATATCGCCATATCTGAAATTCAGAATCTGATTCCTCTCATGATCTCATAGGTACTTGAAATATAAAACATATCCCCAATTAGGCGACGGGTGATAAATCCACTCGGTTGAGGAGATATAATACGTGGAAGCATATTACTCAACTGAGTATTTAACAGCTTAGTGATAAGCTTGTTAAACACCGTAAATATGCTAACGGTCTGAACTCCATCCATCTATAGGGCCCCTCAACCTCTATTTTAGTCGCTAATGGTTCCACCGCCTGACATTGTTTCAAATTTCCTTTTGCTATTTGTTTTGCTAACTTGACTAACAGTGGATCTGATACATAGTTGGCTTCCATCATTAGTGTGTGTCACATCTACGGTCAATTAGAGATGCATGGGGATGGCTGTCTCGTAATTTATATATAAAATCATTGTTTTTTGGGTTCAAATGAGTTAAGTAAATCAATTTAATGTATATCTCATTAAGTGGATAACTCATGAACCCACCTAGATGTAGCAACTTATTGTGAATATAAATGAATGGGTATAGCCAGAACACTAATTTAGAATTCTGAAGTTTGCTCGTTTCTTTTCCTTTCTTGGTACACTTAGTTTGGTACCCATTTTTACTCTTGATTTTCTTATGGTTTTCAGATTTGCAGGAAAATGAGGGATGCCTGTTTAGCTTGCAGACATTTGGAGGAAGATAAATACTGGTCTCGTTGCCAACCAGTCCAATTCTGTCAGATTCTATCCTTGCCTTTTGATGAACAGCTTGTGAGTCCACTTCCTCCTTGTGCACATGTGTAGTTGTGTATGTCTATGTTTGTATTATGTATTTTGACAAAGAAGAAGAAATATAAGTTAAATTATGAAGAATGTTATCCATCTAAATCTTGTAATTTAATGAAAAACGATTTCAATTTTATTCCATTGGGATTCTTTTTGAGTTTAGTGGAACTTCCATGGTTGAAGAAAATCGCTTTTATGGAGGTGGTCAAGTTTGAACTCAAATTTGAGTAATTCGGCAAACCAGTGTTTAAAAGGCGTAAGCCTCAGCGCAAATTGAAAGAGTAAGTTGAAAACGAGAAAAATAAGCTTGTAGTAAACCATTAACAAACTTTAAATTTCACAACACGATTGAACAATTTGAAGTGTAACTTGTGCTGTGAGGCTTATGCCTCAATCAATAGAGGTGCAAGCCTCTTAATTGTCTTCAAAACTTGCACTCTGTACTTTTTGTTAGCGCTTCGAAAGGGTTTTTTAAACCATGGGTGGGGCTACGTCAATGGCGATAAAAAGACCCCAAGATAAGAAAAATGGCTGATATTTGATGGTGGAATTCGATTGTGCTGCTTGTTCATTCAATTAATCATTCATTTGTTGTAGCATATTCTTTCGTCTTGGTTACCTATCTTATACATTATTTCAGACCATATATATTAGATGTAACCCCAACCGTACCTTTGATAAATTTAATATGCAGGTTATTCCAAAAAAGTTTGCTGAAAATGTGAGAGAGAAGTTGGCTGAAATTGTGACACTGAAAACTCCAAGTGGGATTAGTTGGAATGTGGGATTAATGTCTGATGGGGGTACATATGTACTCAAACAGGGCTGGAAAGAGTTTGTCGAAGATAATTTTCTGGAGGAAAATGATATTTTGATATTTAAATACAATGGGAATTCAATATTTGATGTTAATATCTTTGACCAGAATAATTCCTGTGAGAGAGAAGCTTCACATTTTGTGACAAAATGTGAGCATACAGAAGGGGAATTTTGCTGTAAGAGAAAGAGGAAGGGGCCAGGAAGAATTGAAGATGAAGATATTGAATCTTCCGGTGATGACGATGACGAGGACTACCATCCATCCAACGATGACGATGACTACCATCCCGTAAAAAGCTCAAGGAGACTACCTACCAGAAATAATGCAAAGGCTCGTAGGGCAATCAATAGTAAGTTTTATTCCAGATCCCATTTTGTTACTTCAAAGAAAATTATGTCACTGAAGAGACTTAGTTAGAATCATTTTCTTGCAGATGGTAGGTGTCGTTCTGGCAATGGAGTTAGTGGAAATCCGTTGCAGTTGACATGCCATAGAACGGCTGTAACTGGAGAGGAAGCTAAGGCAAATGCAGCATCATCGGTAAACAGGAATGTGCCAGGGAGAGCTGAAGATGAAGATACTGATGAACTCTCTGATGAATATTATGACGATGTTGACTACATTCCGGTGAAAAATCTGAGGAATGTTTCTGCAAATATGCCAACATTATCAAGACTACCTACCAGATCTAATGTGAAGGCTAGGAGGGGAAAAAAGAGTATGTATTATTTTAGATCCTATTATCTTACTTTAAAGAAAGATTATGTCACTGAAGAGACAGAGGTGTGTTCTTAATAGGTACTCATTTTGCTGTAGAGCCCTTGAAGTGTGAATCCCATAGAAGGGCAGTTACTGAAGAGGAAAAAGAGCGAGCACTGGAAAAGGCAAAGGCTAATGCAGCATCATCAGAAAACTGTTTTACTGTAGTCATGCGTCCTACACATGTCTACAGACGATTCTTCTTGGTAAGTGCAGTATGCTGATAAGCATTTAAAAGGGTTCTTGTCATATTAAACAAAATTTGGTCTCGATCACTAAGCTTCTTTTTGTTTCAAGTTGTTTACTGGATTTAAACTTCGATACAGTTTGGTCACTCTAGCTATATATCTTTGTTTGTCAATAGAAAAGGTAGCATGAAAGTCTAATTGTGTTGGTCAGCTAGGCTGCTACATCAACTTTTCCATTAGGGAAACTAGTGAATATGGATGAAATGACCAAATTGTAATTACTGTTCAAGATCATTTTAGATGAAGTTTGAGTTCAGTGACCAACTTGGAACAAAATGAACTATATTGACCAAAATTGTGAACATGAGTATTTTTCACCTGCCAGTACTCTGTTTGGGCTTTCTTCCCTTCCTTTCTTTTGATAACGTGTTCAAGTATTTGGATTTCGTATGACAGTTTTGGGATATTTGATGCAGACAATTCCTACTAAGTGGGCAAGGGTGAATGTACATCCGAAAAATCAAGATTTTGTCCTCCGCACCGAACTGGATACATTTAAAGCCAAATACCATTGTAGAGGTGATGGCGGCGGACTGAACAAAGGTTGGGATAATTTTGTGGTGCACAACTTTTTAGAAGAATTTGATGTCTGTGTGTTCCATCTCGCTAGCAGAATAAATGATGGCATCATACTTGATGTCAGTATTTTTCGAGTTGTGGAGGAGGTGATTCCCCCAAAATGCACCTCAAGGGAGGAGTACATTGAAGCTCATAACTTGGCAAAGCTGCATGCTCAGGAATGACATTTAACTCTCATCTCTGTTGCTTATTATTGGAGAGTTGTACTTTCTTTTAGACTGGGAATTATGTTGTTATTGTGTAGCTTTTTAATAGCTTTTTGTTCAGGAAGGTGAATAGTGTTTGTGAATTCATTAAAGTTGGAGGTGTACATTAGAATACATTTGTCGAGAACTGTAATTCTGGTTGTATCAGATTTGTGTGAAGTATTAGTTTTGGGAAATGAAGAACAGAATGTCACGTGGTGATTTTGGTAATCAATAAAGCATTGATGCAATTGTTAAAAAGTCAAGAAAAATTTAATTAAAATATCATTTTGCAAACAAAAGTTTAAAGCATAAGAGCGTCTCTAAGATGTCCTTGATTAGACACATTTTCTTTATTTTGTATGGGTCGATCATTATTTTAAAGAAAATGAGGAAAAGTCGATCGGTGTTTTAAGTACGGACCATCTCAATCTACATGGGTAAGCGAAGTGGTTGACAAATAATCAATGTTTTGAAAATCAGTTTGGCTCTTGACCTGAAACTTAAAAATATTGTATCGGGTTGAATCAAAATTGAACCAGTTATTGAATAAATAAATATACCACAAAATTTTGGGAACTTTTTTTTTAGTTTTCTGCATCTAATTTTTTTTATGTCCAATTCTAATATTGAGACAACAAATGTAGATGAAAGCTTCATTAAATGATTTCCTTAAATATTTTTATAGGCATTTTAGTGTATGATTAAAATAAAATACAAGAAAGATTGAGTTAATTGAAATATTGTGATCAATCAGGATACTGAGAATGGATTGATGGTTCTTGGAGAAGAGTGGATTAAGCTAATTTTATGTCATCATCAACACTATCATCACAAACATAAACATGGTTCTAACTATCTTATAAGATAGAAGATATTCAGACAGTTCAATTAATCAAGACAATTTCAATATTCTAATATAGACAATTGAAATTATTGTAATTAGTCGAACTGTCTTTCAGGATAATCAAATTTGTCTAACATGCCACTCTACTAACTTGTGAAATGAATCTTGTTTTCAAAGCTTTCAAAATTATCTCAAAAGTTGTATATATATGATTACATTTTATGAAAATTGAATTTGAGAGCATTTTCGATAGTTTCATTCAAAAGAGATAATTTTGTTAATTTAAAACAAAAAAAAAGTGATCATTTTCTAAGAAGGACGCGCTACTGGACCTATATATTGTTATTTCCCTTTACTTTTCTAGATTTAAAAAGGTTGACTTCATCACCAATCGAACTATATTTTACTTGGAGTATTCTTCTTGATCATGACGCCAAGTGACGACCCTGTTTGAGCATGATAGATGTGGCCATGCTCAAGTAGCACGGTTCTTTTCGCTTTTCTGGGTTAAACGAGGTTGACTTGATCAGCATACAAACTATTTTTCATTTTTTTTTATTAAATTAAATTTGGAATGATCTAGAATATAAATGAAAAAATAAAGAATTAATGAAACGTATTTCGTTTACGTGGACAACAGACGGCTCCTAAAACCTCCCCAAAACCCCCCACAAAAAATCGAACTTTCAGTCATATACTTGCCAAAAAGTCTCTCGGATAGCGTCATAAAATGAGGAGATTTAGCTCACTCGCCGCCGTATGCCGCGTTGCCGCCTCCTCACCGGCGGCGTTGGAAAATCCCATCAATAACCAACATCGACTCTTCCAGGCGGCTCTGTTTAGCACTAACGGCAATAACTACTCGGCGAGGTCTTACTGGTTCTCGTACGACAAGGTCACCCCTCAATCAGCTCGTAAAGCTTTCGCCGGGACCATGCTGTTCTCGGTCGCAGCCACGACCCTCGCTGAAGAGGTCCATGCGAAAGAGCACGTGCAGTCGAAATATCGCCCCAACGACGTCGTTCTCTATCAGTACGAAGCTTGCCCTTTTTGTAACAAGGTTAAAGGTAATGGTGATATTTTTTGCAATTATTTTTTATCATCGTGTTCACCTTGACTTTTGGATTTATACATTTGATATGACTTGTAGCTCTAGTTTTTTTTTTATTTGTGTGAGGATTGATGTAGTTCAATAATCATTTCTATACTCAATCTGCCTCTCTGCGATTGGCTTTTTATCAGTCATAGTGAATTATTACGATAATTATTTTTATATCTATCATATTCATCTTCAATTTTAGTGAAATATAATTTGAAGTGAATTATAGTCGTAGTTATTTATTGTGATTTATTTGTATGAGGGTGGTTGTAGTTATGTGATAACTTTTTATTCTCAATCTGCTTCTTCGTGATTGGTATTGTATCTTTCATAGAAGTGATTTTTTTCCCTCTCTTGTGGAATTTAAGTGCAGAACATCAGGATTGTGCTTATACATTTTGTTTATGTTTTACTCTTGTATTAATAGTAACTTTGTTCTTCTATAAACATATTCGTTGTTTGTCTTAAATCGTGACAGCTCTTTATTCGGAATATAGCACGATTTCAAGTTAGTTGTGACCTATTTCCATTTCTGTGGATTAACTTTAGAAAAAAGGTTTAGTTTAAATACACCTTAACAATTTAAAGGTAAAAGAATTCTTTACTTGATCATAGTTTGGCTTATTTGGAAGTTAGCTGGGTTCTGTTGGTTCCTTCTCTTGCCTTGCTTCTAAGATTACATTCAATGGAGGCTGTAAAATGCAAGACAAATCTAGCTTATACTCATTTTGCAGTTATCAATGGGATTGGACAAAATTTAGGTTTAAAATTTTAATTTTACAATTATCAACGCTTGCATAGAACTTTTTATTGGATTATATTTCATCATCTGGTTTTCGTTAAATTCCCTGTCATGGATCTCATATTTATGATGGATGCTCTTTTCCAGCATTCCTGGATTATTATGATATTCCGTACAAAGTTGTGGAGGTCAACCCCATCAACAAAAAGGAAATCAAATGGTCTGATTACAAAAAAGTGCCTATATTGATGGTTGATGGTGATCAAATGGTGGACTCTTCAGGTATTCATTGTGTTACCATTTCCAATGTTTCTCGAAGATATAGAGATACAATGTAGTGGATGTGGATACATTAGATAAATGTGATGATGTAAGCATGATGTTTTTTATTTCTTTTCTGGGTTTTAGTCAATTTTGTAACTTTTTCCACACGTTCTGAGTAGATATAATTGATAAATTGGCCAAAAAGATTCGTCCTGGTGTTCAACTGGAAGATGATGAGGAGAAGAAGTGGCGTGGGTATGCATTTACGACTCTTGTTACTCTCTCTTCTTAGAACTTGCTGCTACTGTTGTATGATTGTTTTTTGCCATAGTACTTGATGTTGGTCAACTTTTGGAATGAACCACGTATACACTCGTTAAAACTTTTGTGTGTGGTCTTTCGTTCATTACTCTTCAACTGTGTCTAGTAAAACAATGTTTTAGTGCTTCGTTTGTTTTAGCATCCAGCATCCTATTGTTCCCAAGCTGTCAGCAGCCAGAAAAGTTGCTTAACTTATTCTTTTTGTCCTTACCTCTTTTGATGAACATTAATTACCTCAAAAATGAGATTTCATGGTACAGAACCATAGTTTGTGAATCTGGATTTAATATTACTGGATATTATGTGCATGGTTTGAGACAGTGAAGTCTGTATCTCATTATTGCAGGTGGGTGGACAATCACTTGGTGCATATCTTATCACCAAATATTTATCGAAGTACTTCCGAAGCACTTGAGTCATTTGACTACATAACCAGTCATGGTAATGTTATTGTTATGATATCCCAAATTGATCTTTGACTGGAAATTCAGCTAAATTTTATATGAATGCACGTGCAAATTATATTATTGATCACTGCATGGACATGCCTTTACATACGTCACACTCAGAGAGAGAAAAATTATAATCACCGAAAGAAAAGAAAAGAGTCTTTGGTGCCTCCAAAAATTATGTAAGCTAAAAATGGGGCCTATAAAAATTATTTTAATTGTGAAATTATAACTACAATCAAATTTATGCACATTAAACTGGTTCACGTTATGTATAGGCACAATGGTAGTAGGGGCAATGACGAGGGCTAATTACCTTTTTTTTTTTTTTCCTTCCTCTTCCAAGATGGAGTATTTAACCCACCTAGATTGACTTGGTTCATAGTTTTAATACACGCTTAGTAGTAATTGAATGATAGTTTACGTGAACTGTATTTTGGAATTTGTGAAGTTGACAGTTGATAATTTATGCTGAATACAGGTGTTGAGTATATCTATGTACGTGTTTTTGGTTGGGTGCAAGCGTGTATTATCATATACTTGATTAATATGTCTTCCTTTTGGCGATTGAATATCAGCTTACCTTTTTATACACAAACACACATCCTCTCGGCCATTCCTTTGATTCCATTGTTACCTCTAGTAAAGATCCAACTAAACGGAGTTTCTTTAGGTCTACTCAAGATATCTATTAAATTAATGATTTCCTAACATAAATTTAACGAAATAAGGTCTATTGAGGAAGTGGTGCCCTAAGGACCTTCAACTTAAATTTGACAGTCTCTTGTATGTTCTTCTTTTTTTTTTAAATCCCTTTCCTTTCATTCTCTTGGATGAGTTGTGTGCATATTCTGGAAACGGTATGGGGTCAAAAAAATCCGTTAATACTAAATTTCCATGTCGTTTCTTTCCACTTTATTCCCTGGCTGTGTTTTTTTAGCTCAAATCTTAATTGTAATGTGCACACTCTGCAAATGTGTTTTTGGAGATGTTTGTTGAGGTTTGTGGTTCATTGCCGGGTCAACTTGCTGTTTCGGGGGGGCATACACTAAGTTCTCTTAACAACAATATTTAGCTGTGAACTTTGAAGTGGCTGCATTGGCTGTGCCTCCTCCCTCACTCGTTCATTTTTTGAATTCTTATTATATGTTTCTGACCAATTGCAGGTAATTTCAGTTTTACTGAGAGATTAACCGCTAAGTATGCAGGAGCTATGGCCATGTATTTTGTATCTAAGAAATTGAAGAAAAAGTATAATATTACCGATGAACGTGCATCGTTATATGAGGCTGCGGAAACATGGGTATCAGCTCTCAAAGGTCGAGAATTTCTAGGTTTGTTCAATTCCTTTTGGTGCAGTATCTTGCCTAAGCTGAAAGTTCGCAAATGCATGGTTGGCTAACCTTAAAAAGTTTACTTATTAAGTAATATAATAAGTTCTAAACTAACTGATCTTTTTATTGGTCAAAGTCAGAAACAAGTTCCTTACTGCCTACTTGTCTTTCCCATCCCTTCCCCAGGTGGTGCCAAACCTAATTTAGGCGACCTTGCTGTCTATGGTGTTTTGAGACCCATTCGCTACCTCAAGTCAGGTAGAGACATGGTAGAGCATACGAGGATTGGCGATTGGTATACTCGAATGGAAAATGCTGTTGGGGTATCTTCCAGAACCCCAGCATAGTTTGAATAATTTGTGCAAGTTTTGATTAGTTTTTGAGTAGGACCCGAGTCTGGAAATTTTATGCCTAGTATTATCTATTTAAAGTGAGTATGCAGTTTCGATAAGCCTTCACGGTGAGATGTTACAATAAACTTTCCAAGGCAATTTGGAGGCAAAATACTATTTTGGCATACGAATTGTTTATTACATTATTGAGTTCCAAGTCGCTACATTATTTGTGAGCTGTAATTTGAGTGTAAATAATAAAGCCTCTCAACTTCTCATGTCGGATTATGGTAACAGAACTGCTGGCCATTGGGTTTGAAGCTGCTTCCTCTACTTAAATAAAATCTTTGATTGTTATTATATCTAGTTTTCTAGTAATTCGTACTGCAATTATATTGGTTTAAAGTTGGTTTTTTTGTTTTTGGTTTGCCAAGTATTTGTTGAGCAGCATAATCCACAAGTATTTGTGTGGAATGGAGCAGCCTATTTACTCCTCCATTTCATGTGAGTTTTTCTATTTGAATTTACTCCTGTCATCATGATTCTATGAGAATGGATAATTATGTGATATATTTTGTACCTAAGACAGAAAATAATTGAGAAAAAATATGATGGAAGATGCTTAATGGTTGGCATGGATTTCACCGGGGGGGAAATGAGTACTTTTTTTTAGAAAATAAGTCAAGATTTAGTTCTTATCAAAGTGAATTAGTTATTACAATGTAACTGACAAATTAAATAAATTTAAAGAAATTTTAAATTGCTTATAAGTACAACTATATATGATAGTATATAGTTTTTCATTTGCTTGTTCGATTAAGTATTGAAATATAAGAAAAAGGAGGTTGGAGGAGTGTACAAGGAGTCTCCATAGAAAAAGGATAATTACTAGATTTGGTTTGGACGGAAGCTTGCAAAAAAATTACTTTAATATGAGGAAATCATTTCACTAAACGGTGTGTTGGTGTTGAAAGTGTAGAAATAAAATGGTGTTGGAAGTGTAGACAATGAGAAGTGTAGTATCTTCGAATCGACCTCGAGCCACATGAACCTTCACAGGTTGGCTTGAAGAACTTGAAAGACAGCCAAGAAGAATGTCACCAAGGGATGAGAGGACAATTATTATCCTATAATTGGCTTATTTTCATATATGAAAATTAAGTTAGTGTGAAATTTTTCTTATAATCTTGTAATATTTGGTGAGAAACTAAATGTAGACTGTTTAAAAAGGTGTAATTACTAGTCCATTATCACAATCTTGAGACTGCATTTTGTCATTAATCAATTATTCTATTTTAATTATTTTCCAAAATAAGTATTTGTTAATTTGACCTTGTTTTGATGTAGTTGATAAGTAGGGTTGTAAATAGATTGAATATGTCTATATTCGATCCAATTCGATAATCCAACTTGTTAAATGCATATCCGTTTTGTTATATCATCGAATATTCGATTTGAAATTAAATAAATTAGGGGAAAAATAATGCTGGAATAAACTTTTTATTTTATTTTATTTTTCTAATTCTTCCAATTCTTAAATGTGGCTTGAGGCATTGGTATGCTAAATCGACATAAAAGCGGTTTAATAATTTTAAATTTTTCAATTTTTTTATATTTTGAATTTGATGACTTTTTTATTTTAAATTTATTTATTTTCTCATTTATTAATTTTATTCACAAATAAGATGTCTCAAAAATATTTTCCCGTCTCAGTTATTTATAACAAATCAGATTGGAATGACCTACATCTAATTTGATTCATTTAGTTAACGGATTATCGAATTTGGATCGTGATCGGGTTTTGAGACTAAGACCTTGAATTCATCTTCCATTAATTACATCGGATTCGACTAAAATTCAATCCATCGATAGCTTTGTCCAATGTCCACAAGTGGTGAAGGAGGTAACCCACCAAACGGCATGAAGTGTCCCCTATTTTTGGACAACGTAACGCTTTTCTCAACTAACACTACCCACTTAGTCCTCTCTTCTTCCATATTCAAGGGTAGGGACACTGTAGGGAGGGGTGGGTGGGACCCATAGGGGGTGGTGATGGTCATATATTTTTTTCATTATGTATATTCGTCGAATGTATTTTTTGAAGAACCAACAAAAAAATTGACATTATTCAGTGTCGAAACAAATTAATTGAAAACAAGAAAACTTTCTTATCATTAAACGTGTTAAAGGTAAAATTTCGTATTGATTAAAAATAAAAATAATAAACAACTTATTAGAATTTGAACTAATTAATTCTTGTAATAAAGTTAGTATTTTTGAGATGAAATCCTGAGTTTTCGTGTAGTGTCAGAGTATAATAAATTTAAACGAGCAGTTTTGTCCGTCTAAAATTCAAACGACGCATCATTACGCCAAGTAATCATAAAACGTGACAATTCTTCTTATGATCTATGTAAATAATTTCATCTAAAAGGATCATATATAGACTATAGCTGCTGATGCATGCATAGGCAGGTTTAGCTCTTGTTTGATTTAAATAAAAACTAAATTTTTAGTATTTTTTATAAAAATTAATTAAATGCGTGACTAAAAGTTTTATGCATTACATAAATTTGTGCGGTTAAAATTAAATATTAAATTTAACTTTTAATTTACCTTTTAAGTTTTACCAAATAAGGACTTAAATCTTTTAATAATTCTAGAGAATATGTACTTCACAATTGAAAAGAGTCTCCTAATATGAACTGTATTGTTAAAAAGTTATGAATTTCATAAAATATGTAGTTAAAATTAATTATTGACTTTAACTTAAATTAATATGCATATGTAGCAAGTGAGAGGAGAGAGAGAGGAAATATGTTACACTACAATTGTGACAAATGATTTGGTTGGTACCAAAATTGGCAACAAAATTTGAAACTTTACCTCATGCAAAATATGATACTTGTAAAGTGGCAAGTTTGATATTGTATTAAATTAGACCTACCTTTCTTTAACAAATATTAGCTACTCACCATACAATAAATAAAATATCATCTCTCTATATGCATGTGTGTATATATACACACACATACAAACACTACTAGTATAGTTCAACTTATTTTCGAAAAGTTGTCGAATTGAAATTCATGCAACTTTTCGTGATGAAGATGGCGTCTTCTCATTTTTTGGCTACTTATAATTCAAAAGTGATTTTCTGTGTCTTTGTTCTGTTGTGGAGTGCCTGTGAGGGGCTGATAAAGCTACCGAAAAACGTAACCGTGCCTGCAGTATTTGCATTTGGAGATTCGATAGTTGATCAAGGCAACAACAATGATATGCCGACAGTGGCTAGGGCCAATTTTATGCCTTACGGAAAGGATTTTGAAGGTGGAGTTTCCACAGGAAGGTTTGGCAATGGAAAGACACCACCAGACATGCTTGGTACATTCTCCTACCCTACCCTATCCTACTCTACCCCCCTCTTTCTCACTTTGTATACATATATACACCCACACATATACATGTATAGCCAGTTAGTTTAAGAACCATTTTGGAATAGTTACTGCTTCTAGTAGAGGAGCTTTATGAGGATGACACTTGACGAGGTTTCTTTAGAAGTTTTTCTAGTCTAATAACTCCTTGTTTGATCCCTATTATTTTAAAAATGCATTTTTCTATCTCTTATCATCAATCATACATTCTCGAATAAAATAATATTATACGCAAACTCAAAATTTTTCTTTATTTTTTAACGACACATTCTCTATCAAATCACTATTATAAAATACATTTTTTTATCAAAAAATGGGGCTCAAAACAGAAATTACTTTCGCAATTCAATTAAATGGGTAATGACGAGTCTTGAATTTAGGAATTTGTGCATTTCAATATAAACACGTGAGTTAAATATTGTCTTCAACAGTTTTCACTAAAAACTCTAATACAGATGTAGAAAATAATCTATCTTTGGTGCTTGTGTGCATGGTCCATTGGATGAACACTATGAAACACCGAAATGGAGACGTGTAGGATATGCCACACACAATTTTCATAAAAGTACGACACTACCGTCGTCGACACGTTGATTAAATTCTTTTAAATTTTTCATTTATATACTATAAATTTAGTTTTATACTTATTGTTATTTTATTTTTTTTTGTCGAAATCTTTTAAATATGAGTACCCATTTATCATTTAATAATAACTTTAAATTAAAAATATAATATTTAAGATAAAGAAAATAAAACAATCATGACAGAGTATCTGAGGAGTACCTGTATCCGAAACAGATACCTTACCCTAATTGAAGTGTTCGTGCTATAGATGATGAACACATACACAAATAGTATTTCTATTAAATTCTAATAAATATTATTACACCAATGGCCTAGAATTCCTAATAAATGTTATTTCTAATAAATTCTAATATGATTTTTGTTTGTGAATGAAATTTACAACATGTTTGATTAAATTTAAAAGTAATTTTTTTTTTTTTGATAAAAAAATTTAAAAGTAATTTAAATGTACTTTTGTGTGAACTTTTATTTTCTTCATTATGAGTAAATAAAGTTATTCATTGACGATAAAATTGAGGTTATTTTCGAAAATAACTTATTTTCATTTTTGAGCAACGGAACATAGTTATTATATAATTATTTTAAAATTTACTTATTTACTTTATCTTACGTGACCAAACATGCAATTAGTTTATATATACTTGTCTATTTTGAGTTTGATCTTGCTAGCTGTTAAAATGAATATATAAATTTTGTTACCTAAAGATTTTGGGCATGCTAGGCTTTTCTGGACTACACAGTTTATTCAAGTCAAGCTGTGTGTGACAATAATTTTTAATGGATAGCCAAAAATTGGGTATTGTTTCTCCAATTATAAATTTATTTGGAAAATAAGCCCAAATAGACCAATTCGAAATGGGCCAAGGCTCAACATAGGATTGATTTCACCAGACAATTCCATCTCAGTCATTTTTGTTTTAAATAAATCAACCTTGTTTCAATGTGTTTTTTCTTGTTTCAGCCGAAGAATTAGGTATTACAGAGCTCATACCCGCTTATCTCGACCCGAATTTGAAACTCGAGGATCTTAAAAAGGGTGTAAGCTTTGCATCCGGAGGTTGTGGATATGATCCCGAGACTGCTAAATTAGTTGTACGTAACATGTTACTATCGATTTAGATGTCACAACTCGCATTCAACGTGATAAACATACCATATTGAATTCTTTAGTGTACTAACTAAATTTTTTTTTTCTTTATCTTGTGTTAAACAACAGTCAGCTATATCACTATCAGATCAAGTAAAATTATTTAAAGAGTACATTGGAAAGCTCAAAGCAGCTGTTGGAGAAGCAGAAACACATTACATTTTAACAAATAGCTTCTACATGGTGGTAGCAGGCAGTGATGATCTAATCAATACCTACTTCCCATTGGGTCTTCAGCTGGTGTACAACCTAAATTCCTATTCTGATCTTATGGTTTCTTCAGCTTCCAGTTTCATACAGGTAAATATTTGATAAGTTTGACTCGATGCAATAACTAGTAAATATTAATCTTGTCAAGTCATGTCGAGTTTAATATCCTAATCTTGTTATATATGTCAATGCTACATCCAAGGATGCGTTTGGCATTACTTTAAATAGTCGGAAGCTGCTTCTAAACATGTTTGAATAATTTTCTGAAAGTGTTTTGTCTAACTAGAAGAATTTTTAGAGAAAGTTAACATAAGGTAGCTTTCTCAATAATCTATTCTATAAGAAGCAGAAGCAAAACATAAATCCTGCCAACGGGACCCTGAGTACTCTTGATTAAGGTCTTGTAAGGCAGGTTTGCTCGTCCCAACTTGACTTTAGAAGCCAATTGGTTCCCTAACATGGGCCACCTAAAAATGGATTGTGCTAGGTTGATACTATCACTTGACATGCTTATTTGTGACTCGAGATATGATTGTAAACCCAAAAGTTACAATGCAATAACTTTGGATTAAAATTACATTACATATCAATATTTCGTTCCAACGTCGAAATTTTATGGTTAATTTCTTGAAATTACTAATGGAATCAAATGATTGTGTAGGAAATATACAAACTTGGAGCAAGAAGAATTGCTGTTTTCAGTCTACCACCAGTAGGATGTGTGCCATCTCAAAGAACCCTAGCTGGTGGTGGTTATAGAATGTGTGTAGAAAAGTATAATCGGGCAGCACAATTGGTTAATTCCAAATTATCATCTGAATGTAAATCACTTGCTAAAAAGTTACCTAAATCCAGAGTGGTTTACATTGACATTTATGAGCCTCTTCTTGATCTTATTCAAAGGCCTCAAAATTATGGTAAGAATATTTTTTTCCCATTTATAATTATTAATTAGTCAAAATTTTAGGGTAATTTTGCTAAAGAACCCTTATTAGTTATTTCTATTGTTGAAAAAAAATATATATATATCTTGTTTATAAAATGTCGATTATAGTTTTTAAAGGACATGCTCGTTCCTCTATTCAATCGAGCTGAATTGAAGTGAACCCTGCGATGAACTCAAGACATCCATCTACTCTTGAATCATTTGCTTATATTTATATCTCTATTCGATCGAGTTGAATTGAAGTGAACCCTGCGATGTACTCAAGACATTCATCTACTCATGAATCATTTGCTTATATTTATACCTCCAACATCTCGTCTCGTTTCGCCTGTATAACATAAACTTATTTTTGAATGATACCAGGGTTTGAAGTAGCAGATAGAGGGTGTTGTGGCACAGGACTTATAGAGGTGATAATATTATGCAACAAATTCAGTGAGACATGTCCAGATGACACAAAATATGTATTTTGGGACAGTTACCATCCCTCAGAGAAAGCTTACAAAGTTCTTCTTAATCAGGTCATTCAAAAATATGTCAACAGCTTCTTCTGAGCCAATTTGATGTGTCTGATGTCATCAAATCAAAATCGAACGGTTAAGAATGCTCACAATTCCTAAATATATATACATATATTTTTTTTCTTTTTATCGTAATGTGTACTCGATTGTGTAAATTTAAGCATTGAAATAAATCTTTTGAATGTATGCAACCGTTTGTCGAAAGCCTTGAGTAAAGCTTTAATGATTTGCTTATTAAAGTGAATTATACTGTACTTAATTCTTTTTATGGAAGGCCCAAATCATACATTTTATGAATTCTATAACTTTTTAATCATACATTTATCAAATTTTATTAAAATTTACTAAAAAATTGATTTTAATTCGGGATTGAGTCCCAACTCCCAAGCATGGTCATGTGAACAAAGTCAAAAATTAGAATGTTGTAACTAGGAAAATCCATGGTTGACTTTCAAGGTGAATTGGGACGAAAGAATTGGGTTCTGACAAAGCATGCTATCAATTTCAGCTTCAGGAAGAGAGACACACAAATTGTCGTTTAAAAGAACTAAGATGATATGATTCTTTTTTTGATCGGTTAATGTGAATTATATAGATCAAGACTCATGTACAAGTACACTAGACAAACTCAGGCAAATCACAGCAAACAATAACAAGTAACACAACTACTCCAGGTATACCCGAGTAGAAAGGATAACAAACAATATGTTACTTAACTAGCGCTAAAGACTCAAAAAGAACTAAAACATGTGGATACAATGAAAACATAACTTTGTATACATGTGTTTTAATCCATCTAACAACGCTCTGAATCTGTGCATTGAGTCCTTCAAAAATTTTCCTGTTCCGTGCCGTCCACAAGTGATACATGGTGCTGGCAAGTGCAATCTTCTCGGCTTTGCTATGCCACGTACCTCGGGCCTCTTTCTTCATCCATTTCCATGCACTTGGAAGAGTAGACATAGCGCGTCTAATACCAAGCCATTCGCGAACCTGTGCCCAAACTGATGCACTAAAGTGGCAAACAAAGAAAAGATGATGTTCCGTCTCCACAGCCCCATTACAAAAACAGCAGTTTTGATCAATGTCCAAAAACGAAAGTTTGTTTTTGGTAAGCAGTTTTGACTGCACTCCTAGCCACAAAATAAATGCATGTTTAGGCGTAATTGAAGCATTCCATATGGTACCTGCCCAGGCTTTCTTCACCCCTTTGTTTCTGAAAAATTCATAGGCTGATTTTATGCAAAAGCTGCCAGAAATTCCCCAGTCGGTCAGCCTATTCTGTCCATTCTGGGCCTGAGTCTGTCCGAGCCCACTGAATGTCCGCTGATGGGTATTATGAGGCTGCCCATTTCCATTTGGTGTCCCTTGAACCAGTGCATCAGTCCCACCGTTCACAGGTAGCTGTGGCGATACCCAGACATTAGGCAGCCTGCTGCCGTACCCGGATTGGCCAGTTTGTGCATCCAATCGGTAATTCCCAGTCACAGCACACTGTTTCCTCAATTCCAGCAACCTTTTAATTAGGGGAGAATCATCTTTCCTGCCCTCATACTCCCAGATATTGCAGCCATGTAAGAAAAATTGGTTGATCCATTTAACCCATAAGGTATCCTTTTTGCAATGGATATTCCAAAGAGTTTTGGCCAATAGTTGAGTTCCAACAGTTCATATCCCTAAATCCAAGTCCTCCTAGTTCGATGAGAGATCGTTGAAAAGATACGAAAAAAGTTCAACTTTGGCTAGACATGGTGTAGAAGAAGGAACACCAATTCTATGCCAGATACTTTAATATTGGACCTAGTAGTTGTAACATGAAAAACATCAATGAAAATTTTAAATGGTCAAAGATAGGTGAATTTATTATTAAATTATTATTTTATTTTTATTGTGCTGGTCAAAAAATATTGTATGCTCTCATCTGTACATGTTAAATTACTTCGTATTGAAATTATCTTCAGCCGTCTGTATCATATGATGTGGAGGAAAAAAAAATTGGAAGAAAACGTTGATTATGTTTTAAACTGGTAAATGATAGAGTGTCATGTGGTATTATGTAACGCATTATGTAATCTCTGATGTACATGTAGTAAGATTTTTTTTGTTAACTTTGAGATTGGTAATTAAGCCCCTTTTGAGCCTTATTAAATTATAATTTATTTCTCTTTTTTCTTATCAACTACACATTCTCAAATTAAATTACTATTCCTTTCATTATAATGTGGAATAATGGAGGTCAAACGGGCGCTAAAGTAAAAGATTTATGGTGTGTTCGAGCCATATTATTTTGAAAGAATGTATTTTGTAATAGTAGATTGATGAAAATGTGTGGTTAAAAAAAAAGGAAAAGTTATTGATATAATGAAAAATGTGTGGTTGAAAATGAGTAGAAGAATAAAAATGAAAATTTTAACGTAACTCAAACAGGGGCTTAAAATCGATGTTATTTAGTTTCAGTGATGTTATAAGTTATAACTTTCATTTATTATTTAATATCACGTTAACGTTACAAAGATTGGAGTTATAATCTCAAATGGACCAAATAAAATTACTCTTTAGAACCATGCACATTTTGAAAAGGTTTGGGACCAAACTTCAATTGGTTAAAATGACGCGCATACGACAGCGAGTGTATCATAAATTTCCAGTTATTTCCATATAAAAAATGCATCTCCACTATGCTCTCCCATACCTCTTCAGATTAATTTCTCCTGTCCCTTAATTATTCGCACACGTACGAAACGATGTCATCTTCAGGGGCGGAGATCGCTGGCAAGAAGTTAACTCTTCGGAGCTCCGATGGCGAGGTTTTCGAGGTGGAGGAAGTGGTGGCGCTGGCGTCTCAGTCGATCAAGCACATGGTTGAGGATGACTGCGCCGACAACGTTATCCCACTGCCGAACGTCACCGGCAAGATCTTGTCGAAAATCATTGAGTACTGCAAAAAGCACGCCGATGCCGCCTCCGCCAAAGCCGACGACAAGGTCTCCGCCAACGACGATGACCTCAGGGCCTTTGATGCCGATTTCGTCAAAGTTGACCAAGGCACCCTCTTCGACCTCATCTTGGTATGCTTATCATTATGTTTTTTATTTTTATTATAATGATTATTTAATTATTATTTTTAGAAATATTATTTGTATTATAATGATTATTTAATTATTTTTAGACTTATTAGTTGCTGTTGTATTGGTGTTGATGCTATATTATAAGTTATTGTAGATTTGGTTATAAGTTGTGTGATTTAGATGTTAATTGTACACATTGGCGGATTAGGAATTTGTGTGAGCTAGGGCAGTCGACTACCATCAGCAGTCGCAATACCGAGATTTTTTATTAGTATTTAATAAAAAAAAAATTTAATTAATATATAAATGCACTAAAACGTAAGAAAATATAATCCGATGCAATCAAAAAATAATAAGAAAATATTAAGTTTCAAGTTTTTATGAACTTAGGCGAGACGGAAGTTTATATGTGAAGCATGATTGGATGGTAAAGGCAAGCTCTCGGCTTAGGTGAAGCTTATGCAAAATATTTAAAACGAATGATTTTTAGAACTAAAAGAAAAAAAAAATTATATATATATATAAATTATTTTGAAAATGAAAACTAATAATATAGAATTGTTTAGTTATTATTTACTATGTCAAAAAATTCAAAAGAAGTGGAGGTAAGGGGAATCGAACTTGAGCCTCTCGCTTGTCATGTACACCCTGCCATTGAGCTACGCTCACTTTTGTTGAAGTAAGCTAAAATTAATAATATAGAATTATTTAGTAATTAGTTATTGTGTTAAAAAATTAAAAGGAGTGGAGGTGAGGGAGCTAAAATTAATAATATAGAATTATTTAGTAATTAGTTATTGTGTTAAAAAATTAAAAGGAGTGGAGGTGAGGGGAATCGAACTCCATGTCTCTCACAATGGAAGTGAACGCTCTACCACATGAGCTACACCCACTTTTGTTGAAGATTGGTACAGTTATACATATTTAAGATCAAAGCTTTACATATTTAATATCAAAGCTTCATTAATCCTTTTTATTTTATTTTTTTCCGGTAGAGTCAGCATGTGCGGCCGCTCTTGCTCGCCGGTGCTGGCTCCGCCCTTGATTGTACATTATATCTGTAATTGTTGTTACTATAGCTACTAATATTCTTGCTATTTGTGCAAATAATCTAGAATTAATTTAAGTTCATGATAATAATTTGCATTCTATTGATGCTATTTTCTGGATTATATATGGATTTGGTTATTACTAGGCTTTATAAATGTTAATAGTTTCATCATATCTATAATTTTGTTAGTTTGTTACCATAGTTGCCACTGCTGTTTCTGCAGATAACTATCAGTACTCTCTTTTTTTCTTTTTCTTTTTTCTTTTTTAAGAATGATGCGTAATCATTTTGTTGTTAATATTGTTGATGGTTTGATTTTGTCTAGAAATATCTATCTATTTGATTGTGGATTAGGGTTTTATTAGTCTGATAGTTTAGCATACTTCGCTGATGTTGCTGATTTATTTATTTAGGATTATTTTATCAATGCTTTTCTGAGTACGATAACTATGTGCTTGGAATGTTGTTAAAGCAGCTGCTAGTTTCTGTTGTTATTGTCCTTGTAGTTATGGTTGTGATTTTGTTCATTAATTGCCTCATGGAATTGTGTCTCTATTTGGTTATGAACTGTGTTAAGGGGTTCTTTGTATATTAAGAAACTAATATATTAAAAGATTATGCGTTGGGACTCTGCTAGTTCTTTTCAGCTGGAATTTGGAGTTGTGATAGCATCATTTAGTGCTTTTTTTATTTTGGGTGGGAGTACATATTAAGGGTTTCTTCATTAGTATAGGCAAGAAATTAATGATAGATTGTTGATCTAGAAAGGATGATTGTTAATCTGGCTATATGTTTCTCTGTGTCTGTCTTGTCATTTGTTTTTATTTATTGGTGTAAAACTATACTGGCCAACTTGTTTTCAGGAAGTGATGTTGTTTTGCTCTTTCTACATCTCTCCTTAACAGTGTAAAACTAGTCTGATTAACACTGTTGTTGCCACTAATATCAAGTTGAATTCAGCTCCAAAAAGGATTCAAAATTTTGCACAAAGGCTTGTATGTATATGACTCTCTGCATATGTATGACATCATTAGAGTTTAAATATTATGTACCCTTTTTCTGAATTGGTCATGTTATCTTCTTTACCACTCTTGTGTACTAGTTTTACGTAGTCTTGACAGCAATTATAATTCTTGTGTTTTTTCTTTAAAGATGCTATGTTGTTTCTGGGGAACTAGTTTATATTTTTTACTTAGAACGGTGAGGCTAATAATCCTGTAATCAAAACTAAGAATAATTTCTCAAGTGATATTTTATATTTCGATTAAAATTTCCATTAACAATTATATTGGTATTTATCCATAATGTGCATGGGATGTGTTTATTTTTTATTTTTTGTTACGATGTGTTTGAAAATATTATCATCTCATTACAATTTGCAGGTCAAACATTAATTTCAACTACACATTCACAATTACTACCCGATTATCATCCACACACGTTGAGTCCGCTATTTCTTTTTATAATCTCATTATAATTTCTTCCAAACAAGCTTAAACTCAGGGAACTATAATATTCAGAAAGAGAAGATATTCATATACCCTGAACAGTGCCGCTTTAAAATTCTTTTACATGATGTACCTGCAGTTTATTGAAGGTATATTGCTCATTATCATATGATTTTTCTCTCCTAGAGCAACAAGTTTACACAAGGTGGTGCAAATTCCCGTGAAGGTCCATTCTGAAAGATTGAAACTGTAACTATGCTGGCCATTTCGAAATGCTTCATTTGTTTTTAGTCATGGACTACACAGCAGCCCATCTTGCCCCACTGCTGAACTCTCTTCTGTGTGTACAAATCATGTTTCTTCATACTTTTTGGACTTTTCAATTCCAGTTCCATTGTTAAAACATGAGCCAATTAATTAGAGGCTAACTCAAGACTAAGTCTGATTAACACTGCTGTTGCTAATTATTATTAGTTCTATTCAGCTCCAAATGGATTAAAAACGTTACTTTTTTAAAAATCAGCGTTGGTTGTAGGGACGTTTTGGCAATATCTGAAAAATGTTGCAATTAGAATTTCTTGGTCCAAGTTATTCGCATTTGAGTTGTTTTTGTTTTACAGCATTCGATGACTGCATAATTGGTTGGTAAAAGTGAGTAAAAAAGGGAGAAGAGCTCTGATATTATGATTTATTTTATTTGATGGATGAAATGATTGTAGAAATATAGGTGAATATCATTTTAGTTTGAGAATAGAGATTGCTTTTGACATCAGGTTGTATGTACTTGTACCGTTTTTGGACTTAACCAATTTTCTGAAAGGTAAGGCATACATGCTGTCGATTCTGCAAGAAATGGGGTTAGTTATATTATTTTTTTCACCTATTCCTACATAATTTTCTTGTGATCTTCTCTTATTGGTGTTTGAAGATGATTTTTGTTGTGCAATTTTTGTACGGTATGTTCCTATGAATATAGTTAAACTGTTTGCTTTGAAAGACAGCTTACTCTTTCATTTAGCACCCAATTGCTATAATGGTGTAGAAATGTCCTGGTTATATGTGCATTGAGATGTATGGGATAGGACCTTGATGCTAGGTTATACAGCAATGTTAACTGTTAGGCGTAACCGCAAGCTTGCTGATCGTTCCACTGTTTATTTGAACCAATGAAGAGTAGAAAAATTGTCAATTGCATTCATTTTAGCTGGAGATCTAGGATTTTGCCAGCCTCTCATCAGTTCCTGCTGAGTAATACGATCAACCTTTTGCCATTTGATATCAATCTTTCTTGTATGACACTTGCCGAATTAATTTTGAATATGTGATGACTGAGCCCATTGTACCATTGAATTAATTCAGCATCTTGTACGTTATCTATCCTTCGTGCTCTAATTTTTCAGGCAGCTAACTACCTGGATATCAAGTCTCTCCTGGATTTGACTTGTCAGACTGTTGCAGACATGATCAAGGGGAAAACACCAGAGGATATTCGGAAGACATTCAACATCAAGAATGACTTTACACCCGAAGAGGAAGAGGAGGTCAGAAGAGAGAACCAATGGGCCTTTGAGTAGACAAAGTTTGTGTCTAGGCTGGGCCATTAAGTTCCAATGGTTTTATGTCGAGTTAGTCTGTTTCTTCAATGCAAATTTAAGAGGATTGTGAACTTCTATATCTAAATATTGGTGGAACGTAATGTATCTCTTCCATTGGCAGACCAGATGGAGCTGTATCGGTCGTAGAGAGAGAAAAGATACATATAATTGTGAAACCTTCTAACCAGACATGTTATTTTCTCGCTCTTGGACAGTTGATTAATTGTTTGTGCTTAATTGCGAAATTCTACACGTATCAATGACCAAAAACTCTTATTTCATCCATTAATTACTGTTCCCAGTGCAGCAAGTATGGTAATATTTTTTCTATTCTCTTACAAAATTAATAAAGAATTTATAAGAAATGATGTTCGAAAAATAAGAATTCCATCGAAAAGGTTAATCCACCAGAAATAGCAACCTATTTCTCTTATAAACCCGAGACCTTTCCCGTGTCTAATTAATGCGAAACTTTTTGTTCCCATACAAAGTTAAGAATAAATCGTGCTTCATCGTTAGCTAGGTCGCATCAACTATTGTGGTGGCGTCAATTGGGCAGGTTGAGGCAGCAGCTGAGGCCCAGAATGGCCTGTCCGCCTCTATGAGCTGTCTCGAGACGGGCATGGCCGCCATATTTCACTCCATTAGTCAGGAAATTTCTAAGTGATAAACAAAGACAAGGTGCACAAATGCCAATCAAGGTGAACTAAAATCCTATTACTGACAATAGGAGGATCACTAATAAAATGCCAGCCAACAACACACTGTTAAGAGACAAATTAAAGAATGCTCTTGCTAATCAAATTACACCTTATTAATATCCAACTACATGATCTTGCTAATCAAATTACACCTTATTAATATCCAACTATAAAAACTAATGGTTAAGAATAGAAAACAAAACGGCTCAACCACTCGTATGTGGTCAGGAACTTCCAAGTTAGTCTACATTGAATACATACTACAGTTAGTAACAAATGCATGAAGGGTAGAAATGGAGCAGACATTTATCTAAGCTCACAGAAGATTATGTCCTCATTGCTCCAAGTTTGAATTAAGCAACTCCAGCTGTAGCATGGATTGGCCCATTAGACGGGAATCCACGACCCCTGCCACGAGTCCCCCTCCCACGGCCACGACCTGCAGCGGAAGAAACCCACCAGTTATTGTCAGTGATATTTTACTTAGAGCAGATCAACAAACGGTACTTTTTTTTTTTTTTGTCTTCCGGCATTTTTATTTTTTTTGGCTAGTCTAGGGGTGAGCAGGAAATTTTATTAAGACAGAGAAGGTGGAAGAGGAGCATACTCCTCACCAAATGAAGTATTTATTAAAACAATCGTTTCTTCATAGCGAGGGATCAAATTTTTATTTATTCAATAAATGTCGAACACAATAAGTACCTCGAACTGATGGTTCTTGATTATAGCCTTCACTGTCACGCTGAATTTCTACCCGCGGACCATTGTACCCTCCCCTCCCACGGCCACGGAAATTGCGACCTCTGCCTCGTCCCCTACCCCTGGGGTACCCACGATTCCACCCATAACTTCCATCCTCATGCTCAGCAGATGCAAAACCATTTCCTGAAATGAAATACGGCATCCATATTACATACACGTAAGAACATTGAAAATCCCATATCCTCAAGGCATATTAAAACCAGCAACAACTTTTCCAGTCCATATTGGTCGGACATATAACCAACAGGCCTGAAAGAGTGAACACAAATGAATGGGCAGGATCATACCATGGTTCCAAGCTGAACCTAAACTCATCCCAAAAGGAAAAGAAAAGAAACAGTAAGGGGGTGTTTGAGCCCCAATATTTTTGAAGAATGTATTTTGGAATAGTAGATTGATGGATGATGTGTGGTTAAAAAAGAAGGAAAAGTTTTTGAATTGCGTGTAACATTATTTTAATGATGAATGTGTGGTTGAAAAAAAAGAAGAGAAAAATATATTTTAGGAAAAATGGGAATCAAACACCTAAATTATTTTCCAGGCTATAGTCGGCTTTCATACATACTAATTGACCAACCTCCCCAAGTCATGTACAAAATTTGGAAATACAGGGATGCTTACTTGCATCAGACTCTGCTACTCAAGGCAATGGCTTACTTCCAATTGGCCTCGAGGGCAAATTCCAGTGCAAACTAAGAAGCACCAAAGCGACAAGAACATATGCCACCATTTGATTTTTCAAAAATGTAGAATGCTTATAGGTCAAGAAGAAAACTATCTGATTTTTTTTTTTATTTTACTTCTTGAAAATAGGAAATAATTCTTAATTTTCTATATATAGGAACTAAACAAGAATTGAGCTATTGAGCCATCTTATTTCTATCAAAATGTTAGCCCATAAAAACTATTGAAATGGGTCAACTAATGAAATGCTAATTAACAAGATCTAAACAACGATTTGAATTAGATGAAATTCTTATTAGTTGGGTGCACACAATCAAATTGTTTCTTAATTAGCCACATATATTAGTATAGTCGAGTTTATGGAGTTATTTTTCCGTTTATCAATATCAAAGACAACTCCTACCAAGTCAGTTTCAGTCACATTTAGTACTTTAACATTCTGCCTTCTCAATATGAAGGCCTAAATTGAAACTGAGTTTCGCTTTCGATATATAGAAGTTCTTACTTGTAAGTATTTCTTAAATTCACCAGCTTCCGTATCTATCAATTTTAAGTTAAAGAGTTTTTATTTTCCCGTGTAATCTCGCTCAAAAAGTTTGCAGAGTGCAGTGTCGTGGATTCTTATGCCTTTCCCCAACACAGGTTATTAAACATACTACTCCATGCCTTCTTCTTTTAGAAACATGACCTCCGACAATAACTCCACTCCAATATGTATGAAAATTAATGCATATAGCATACGCTTCAGCATATCAATGGTGCTCTAAATCAGAAAAGGATAATAATGAAAATCATCATATCCAAAAGTTCACTTCGAGCGGAAAAATCGGTGCTATAGAATCCCAAACATGTAAAGAAAAGGATTCTCAGCTTCAGCTAAACAGACCTCAAACGCATCCAACCCTCAGAATCCCAAACATAATTAACTAAATTTCTTAGTAAAGCAGTGCAACCACAGAATCCATACCAGATGTGGCTCTTGACCTCCCCCGCCCTCTGCCACCTCGACCTCTTCTTTGAGTAGCGGGAGATCCATCTACACATTCACAACATATTAGAATGGATGCTTTTCCAAGGAATATTAATCTAATGACAGGGATTATAAAACTTGAAACCACCTCCTTCATACTCAAGCTCAGTTGATACCTTCACCTGATCAGCTGGTAACGGTAGTTGGTATCTACAGTACATAACACCAAATGAGAACTCAACAGAAATTGAATTTTTAAGCTCGTCTGCATTCTAGATAGTGATTACAAGTAACAATCTTTTAAAATGATATCTAAGGATTATGCTTTTATTTCATAAATCTCAGAGCTTAAAGCCTTACGCCTGGAAATAGAGAGGGTTAAAAGAATACGCTCTCAAGAAACCCAAAGAGCAGTCATAACCAGAATTATTTGCAATTTTTATATCAGATGTGAATGTACAAATGGGAAGAAAGCTGAAACAACTCACCCAATATTTTTGATATCCAACTCCTTTTTAGAAAGCTTAATTGTTATCATCGAAACTTTCCTTGTGGTTTCCAGACTGGATCAAAAGAAAACATGGTCACAAAAGCCACCACTATTGCCATGCTCAAGTAATCTCGAGGCATGAAATAATTATAATTCAGGACTATAAACATTTTAGTTTATTTTATACAGTAAAATTAAAGTAATCTTACGTTTGGAGGCCTTCCTCTAGGGGTTCCCATGTGTCAGTTATGTCAGTGGATTGGATCGATGAAATTTGGTGAAGACCAATAATTCTCCTCTAAAATACAAAGGTATAATGTTTATAGATTAGCACAAGGAATTAATAGTAAAGTGATAACTTAGAGAAGCATAAAAAGAGAAAACCTTAATTAATTCCACAATTGTAACAGTTTTATTGATAGCTCTCCCCATTGCCTTGAACACAATGTCATCTGAACCCTTCTCCTACAATTCATTGGTATAAATCACCCCATAAGATAAATTCGAGACATAAAATATGCCCATGAAATATGTGGGCAAGAAATAATCATGCTAACGGCCATTACAAGTCATGATGATGCAAAGGTAAAACATTAGCAGAAAGAAGGTTGAAAGAGTAACAGAAATTCAAGCAGGAAGTTGAGAAACATATTTACTCAGGAATCACATAAAAGCTACTACCTGCCTCAGAACAAAAACTGACAAAAAATAAAAAATCCTATGTAAGTTTACAATCCATTAAAGAACAAAGCTCCATAACTGCATTCTTTAAAAAAATCAATAAACAAGTTCAAACAGTATCGAGAATATCTTGTATTGTCAGTGACATATCTGTCACGACCCCTAAAGCTTCTTCTCCTTATTGCGCTTACAAGTTTAAGATTATATAGATAGATTAGAACATTCTTGAGGAATTACACAAGCATTGAACTTTCTGCAGGATTCCACATTTTTCCTCTTGATAGGAAAACAAAATTGAAAAACATAACAGAAGTATTTATACAGCAGAAATAATTTAGGTCAAAAGTCATATGCTAAGCCATGCTCCAAGATACTGCCACAGGATTGCATCATCATATTTCTTCACAATCATTTTGCTCATATTGATCACCAAGTTCCTCAGCAATCTAAATCCTCAAAATAGCATGTCTACCACAGATTGTAGCTTCTATTCATACTAATAGCATAATCCACAAAAAATGTTTTGGTTACATCCTAGAAGTATAGAATGTATAAATAAGAAATGATTCTCATTAACTGCATTCATAAATTGACCAATTAATGTAAACTCATTTCCAGGCGTAAAACAGATAAAAAAAGAAACATATCAAATTAGAGACTTTTTATGCAGCATACAACATGTTATTCATAAATTATATATCTATATACCTGAAGCAGACTCATCGCATAAGTGATATAGCTCCGCATCCTTCCCTGGCTTGTAATACGTATCTCATTCTCATCAATTAGTGTTTCCACCTTTGGTTTCTCCACCTTCTGGTACCGATCCATGCTCTGCAAAATACAAAAATTCAAAAAAACAAAAAATAAAAAAATAAATCCAATTCTGAGGAAGGAAAACTACAAAACCATTAGTCCATCAACTAATTAAGAGAAAAACGCGATAACTAGTATTTTGCTGGTCAAAAGAATTAAAAAAAAAAAGGTTGAATACTTGATCCGCAAATAGTGTTTGAAATAGATTTAGTAAAATTATTTTGAATTCATGAAGTGAATTTGGAATTTACCTTATAGAGTATACGGGAAAAGGATAAGATAATTGCTCCGCTAAGAAAAAGCCCTCTTCTCCGGCTTTGTTTCTTCGTTACGCCCTGACCGTTTACTGCGGATTTCGAATCTATTTATATTGCCGGTTTGAGTTGTGCCCTAGTCCTATTTAGCCGGTAGAACCGGTTACTAATATAAAAAATTTCATTATTGATCCCTAATCTAATTTTTGAATTTCATGTTGGTCCTGTACTTATGAAATGAAGCAAGTATTAAGTTTCCAAGTTGGTGCTACCAAACTTATTCATGCATTCTAACATGACCAAGTCGGGGATGATCAAAACATCATTGTATTCACCACCCCGTAGATTCTTGCATGCACTCTTATATTCTGATTATACCCTCTTAAAGCAATCACCTTATTGTTATTTCAAATATATGCTTCGAACTCGAGACGTAAAAAGTCATTGAGAACCCATTGTTGCCGCATTATTGCGAGGCAATCGTCTCGATGCCATGTGGGTGTTCAAGTGTGCCGACTATCCCGCATGTGACACTTTGAACTACTGGGATCAGAGTAAAATTAGGATACCGCCTTGCTGCCTCCATCCATGAAAACACAAGGCTACCCCCAAAGCCCATTTAGTTTTTAATAGGCGTGTGTCTGGTTGGAATTTTAATTGTAATTCCAACTGTTGCAATGGAAAAAATGAACCGTTGCAGTCAATTTCTGGGCCCCAGCTGTGAGTGGAGCAGTCAATTATTGGTCAATTATTGCTGTTAACGGCTATAAAAATGATTTTAATTGATTTGAAAAAGTGTTTCTAGACACAGTCTAGGTAGAGAATTATGCAACAACTCAGTGCCAAAAAAAAAAAAAGTAAAAAAATTATCCTCCCCTCACTCGCGTGCCTCCGACTCTAACATTAGTCCATGAAACCTCTCGAGTATTCTACCAAGATGTGGGCTGGAGACACAGAGCGTATTCCATGCTCTATTTCACTACAAACCTACTGATAATAAATGGAGGTTGGGCATTTTTCCTGAGTTAGTCTCGAAGTTTGAGGGTGATACCGTGGGAGAAATGTTTCTGTTTCTGAAGGCTGAGAAGATTTTACAGAGGAGCGGGATGGAGCTATTTGTTATTACTGTGAATCTGTGATTAGGCATGAGAGATCATCCTTGAATACCAGGCAGCTAGGCTTGGAGTGGAGGGAAGAGGGGCTCGGCTTGTTTAAGATGCAACACTCTACCAATAGTGAAGAGAACCGAGACGGGGGCTCAAGTTGAAGGTAGATGCTGCTCAAGGGTGATTTGCAGAAATGATAAGAGGAAAAATGGTGACTACAGGCTACAGCTACAAAGTGTGTCCAGGGGATTATTTATCCATTGGTTGGAGAGTGTATCATTTCCCTTGTTGAAACGCTGTAATAGTTGATGACCAATTTCTGGAGCTTAACCTGTACACATATTCGAAGGGAAGCAAGCTACGCAGCCCATGCTCTTGCTGAGCAAGCTTTTATATTATCTTTACAAAATAATGTTTGGTTGGATGATCCTCAATAGTTGTAGGGGAAACTCGACCCCAATCAAATGTTGAAGTAGATCATTAAACTTCCCAATTAATGTTAAGGGGAAAATTGTAAAGAAATTAGAATTTACACCCTACATACAGATTGCCCAAAAATTGTAAAGAAATTAGAATTTGACTTGTAAGGTCAGACAAATTTATTTTCTATTTACACCCTACAGATTGCCCAAAAAGAAAACATAGAAAAACATTTTTTTCTACTTTTAACCCACACTTCTTTATAATTTCCTTACGGTGTAGACGGTACAATTTGAATTCATATAGCTTTTTAATTTATCAAAATCAAAACTGAATTGTTTCTAAATAGTTTAGGGTATGTTCTCTTTGCTGTTTTCAGTTTTCGAAAACATAGATAACACGCTTACTGACCTATTTTCAGAAACGCGTTTAAAATTTACAAAAAAAATGAAAAGGCCAAAAAAGTCGTTTTTGCTGTTTTCAGTTAAAACCTAACAAAAACTTCATTTTTTTTATTTTCGAAAACAATTTTTTAAAATGACAAAAAGAACACAATTACAATAATCTCAAAATGGACAGTCAAAACACAAAACTCAAAATAAATTCAAAACTCAAAACACAAAACTAAAATGACAAAAAGAACGCGTTTTTACCAATCTCAAAATGGACATTCAAAACTCAAAATTAAAAATCGAAACACGAAAAGAACAACCTCTAAATTGGATGGATTTGAAAAACGTGCATTGGATTTGAACAAATGCACGCGTGTTGTATGTACAGATCCCCAGTATGAATGGCAAAATTCTAAAAAGTATGCTTGAGATACAAATTTTAATTAAAGTAACGTCTTAAAAATTGTACAGCTGGGCAACTTGGTCAACACTTTCTCTTCAAGTTCTGCATGTCTGGCAAGAAATTAGTACATAGTATTAGCGGTGACAATCGAGCGGAGCGGCTCGTAGGCTCGGCTCGTACAGTAGCGACCCACGAAATGAGCCCGAGCACTAGCCCTAGCAGGCCGGCACGTTAGGGAGGCGAGCTCTCGTGGGCTCGTGAAAATACATTAAAAAAATAAAAATAAAAACTAAGAAAACTAAAATTAACCACGAGCCGAGCTGACTCGTGAGCTCGTGAACCGAGCCGAACTCGTTCCACGAGCAAACGAGCCACGAGTCGAGCCGAGCTTGTGGCTTTAAGGGCCGAGCCAGTTCAGCTCTGCCCATTGACTTCTCTAGTATACACGTGCTTGATGTGAGCCGCACTATGCCCCCGTTTGGTTTCCTTTTTTTTCATTACATTATATTAATTTTTTTCTCTTCATTTCAACTATATATTCATCAAATAAAATAATATTACACACAAATTTAGAACTTTTCAATATTTTTGTACCGCACATTCTTCCATCAATCATTATTCCAAAAATTTTCAACACCCCGACGAAACAGGGTCATATCATCGAAGGCAACAGCGTCATAGACTCGTCGATTTTCGAAAAACTCTGTGTGCCAGTGCTTATGGTTTTGTATTCTTGCTTCAAATTCTTGAAACACGTCATCAGCTTTCCAGAAAAAACATTTTCTGTTTCACTTTCTTTTGTCCTTTATTCCTCGTATATGCGTATATACATAGACTACTACACATATACATACATATTTAGTTCGTAAACCACATTAAAATTTTCACTCTCATTCTTTCACACATTCTTTAATAAAATAATATTTTACATCACCATCCATCTACTATTCCAAAATAACGTGGCTCAAACACAATGTTACTTAATATCAGTACAACCTGAAATAAACGCACCCACCCCAACCACCTCCCATATAACGAGGGAAGAGGCCCTCGTTTCCTTCCCATTTGCCCTTGCAACAACACCACACCACACCACACCCCATCCCAACTCAACCCACCCTCATTCCCAAGTCTACTTACAGAGTGTTATGGTGCGCATTACAGTTCAACACCAGAGTTAGTTTTTCTTGAAAAATATACAGGGAAGAAGAATTGAAAATGCTGGTCTCGGTATTTATTGCACTATTTCTACCGTGTGCCGGCATGACAGCATTGTTTCTAGTTTACACATGTTTGCTATGGTACGCCGCGGATTCCAACAATGAGTTCCAGTCACCGCTAAAGCCCAGGCGTGAGGAGGGGCTGTCCGCCTCTGATCTTGAAAAGCTTCCTAAAGTCACAGGCAAAGATTTGGTGTTGGGCACCGACTGCGCGGTGTGTTTGGACGATATTGAGAGTGACCAACCGGCTAGAATGATTCCCGGTTGCAACCATGGGTTCCATCTACAATGCGCCGATACTTGGCTGTCTAAGCACCCTGTTTGCCCTGTTTGTCGGGCCAAGCTTGGGCCCGAACTCTTCAATCCACCTGAGACCAATCCATGCTAATAAAAGTAGTAGAATTAAATTTCTATTTTTACTGGTACTTCTATTTTTATTTTTTTTCATTTTACTTTCAACATTTGTAGGCATTTCATGTGGGATGGCCATCAGATATGTAATTTTTGTAAAATATTAATTAATATTGCAAGTTCGGACTTTGGCTTTGGCAAGATTAAAAAGTTCATTTTCAAAGAAAATTACGTATAAATGTAATGCAAAATCGGGTCGAGTAGTGCAGGACAAAAGTTATACCTAATTCACTTGACGCTCCTCGTTTGAGTTAGTAATTCGGATAGTGGGTTGGAGACTAGAGGGTCACATATTTTATACATTTTTGGTAAGAATCACGTTACATGTACAATTTAGTTTGACTATATTGATTGACAACTCACACTTGACAACATCACATTCATCTATTTTAAAAATTATTTTTTAAATTAATGGTCCGAATTTTAACAACACTAACATTATCAATCATTATTGTCAAGTATGATTGTACAAATATTTTGATAAATAATTTATGAGGACTACGAAAAATGAAATTAAAATGATTAATAAAAATTATAGTGACAATTGGTATATTTAACCCCAAAATAGGTATATTCCACGATCTTCTAATTCCTCGGTGCAATGCTAAAAGAAGGGAAATGTTAGGTGTACATAAACCCCTACCGACAACTCGCGGAGGGGTGGGAGGTGTTTTTTTTTTTGAAACATGCTACTTGTATAAAATGCAGTGTCCATAATGGTGTCCACACACTCACATGGAGGGAGTCCACTTCAAATAAAATATAATACATTCGAAGTGGGTCTCCCTCCATGTGAGAAGGTGGACACTGTTACGAACACCACATTATGTATGTATAGCATTATTCTTTTTTTTTTCGCTTTTTATTGACGTGGATCCCGCCATGTGGGAGGGTGTAGGGGTTCTACCCTATACACCCAGCAAAGAATCTCTGGTTGCATAAATTACTGTTGTCTGCTGTTACTGATTCCAACGTATTGCTTGCCACTGTCTCAAAATGATGCGTAATTAATGTCCCCAGCAAAAAATCTGCGTCTACACCACAAATGTTCGGTCACCATTTTTCGATTTTTAAAGATTAGACAATTCGTGCCTTGACAACAAGATCGAACATATAAATAATTGATAGATTTTTATACTTCTTTTATTATGATATGATAGTTAGATGTCGACTAAGCCAATTCTTAGAGTATTTTCAATTCATTTTACCGATTATTGAAATATTTGTAATTTGTGTGACATTCACATCTAATGAATAGATTATTAAGGCTGTTTGGTACACTTTTTTTTTTATTCTCATTATTTTACTCATTTTCAACCACATATTTTTCAATAAAATAATATTTTTCATCACATCAATAATTTTTCCTTCATTTTTAACTACATATTCTCCATCAATCTACTATTCAATAATACATTCTTTCAAAAGAATGTGCCCCAAACACACTCTTAATGTTAAAATTAAAACTATGTATTAAGTCTAGGGGGTTGTTTGTTTCTGATTCTCAAAATCAATTCTCATTTTCAACCACACATTCTTCAATAAAATAGTATTTTCCATCACATCAATAATTTTTTCTTCTTTCTCAACCACACATTTTCCATTATCACTATTCAAAATCAATTCTTCTCTCAAAAATCTCTGTCAAACAAGCACTAGATAGTATCATTATCAACTTAAACCTATGAGTATAAACGTTTGTTTGGAAAAGATATTTTAAAATCATTTCCAACCATGTATTCCGTAGAACCTATAACTTTTCCTACTATACAATCTTCAAAGGAAAAAAAAAATTATTTTTCATTTTGAAAATTCTCTCCCAAACAAATGCTAATGTCAAATGAGATGTGTCCAGTTATTCTTAATCTGTTAGCACATCTGCTCACTTTAAAAATCTGCACAACCTTATTGCCAACAGATCTCTTGCCACCTTCCTTCCAACTTGTATGTAATTTGTACAAGAAAAAATATAATGCTTGTTTGGTGGAGATTAAAATAAAGGTCTTAATTTAAGTGAAAATTAATAATTAATTTTAATCACACATAACGGGACCCACAACTTTTCAATAATACATGTTATCAACTTTTATCAAAATATAATAAAAATCTGATTTAATGTTCACGAAACAAGGGCAATGTGTAGGTGAGACAAGTAGACACTATTTTGACTAGGTGAGACAAGTATATATCCTGAAAATGCATGTTTCCACACACAAAAAAAAATTTTGTTTTTGCTATCCATGCCAATATATATGATAAAGATTCGTATATATTAATATTAGAATATATAATATGAAGTTAATGATCGAGTATAAATAGTTGAAGAAAGTACTATGATAATTTTAAATTATCAAATAGAAAAATTAGTTAGTGTGTAGGATATTTTTAAATTTGAAGAGAAAATGTTCATCGATCTATTAAATACCGGTGCTCAATATTGATAACGTGACCAGAGGTGGATATGGGGGAAGGCAGCTCTTGGCTATAGCCCAGAGCTATTCAAGCCCACATCTAAAATTATTGGCCCAAAAGAATAAAAATGTTTTAGGGGAAAAATCATAAATACCTTACAAATATATAAAATTTCATTTTGTACTAAAATCTGAAATTACTACAACACTGAAAAAGAAATCCAAAAATACTGTATTCAAGACTTTCCTTTTTCAGCATGTAATTGAAATTGTCAAGGCACAATCGAAACGGATGGAACTAATTGAAAAGGTTGAATTCATGGGAATTCAAATTCAAATCAAGACATTGGAGCAGCAATGGCGACATTGAATCCGTCCTCAGGTGGGATATAAAATCCAGAACCATGTTGCATACATATGAGAAAAATTCAAATGAGCAATCAACATAAATAGCGTAAAATACACACCGTCATGTGTGTATATGCGTAACGTAACCTAACCATGATGCATACCAAATGTGAGAATCTGAGATTTCACAAGCGTGTCGGAGTATGCAATTGTGTAATATATATCAAAATACAGATATGTGTACAGTAACCAACATGTTGAAAACATGTTAATTATACTTTTTGGATGTGTATATATTTAATAAGATGTAAATAATTATACTTTCATGGGATTGATAGCGTGTAATACATATCAACACATGAAAATGTATTTACATACAGATAATAATATATTTGCAAAAGAAAAGTGCTCAAATCATACCCTATGATTCCTGGACTAAATTTATCTCAATAAAACATGAATGAATACCATTGTTCTGAAGAATCATCAACGACCATTTCATCTTCTCTGTTGACATTCTAGAATATGTTGGGTCTTCCTCTATTCATTTGAGGGGTGAATATGTTAAGTACCGTGCTTAGAAAAAGGTGTGAGAATTTAGAGAAAGTCAAGATTTTGTGATTTTGGGTTGTGTTGATTTTGTTAGAATGCTTGTTTTGTGGAGTGATATTAGCCTCTCAATTAATTAATTTTAAAGATTAAAATGATTGGTTGGTTTTTCATTTTACTGCATCAATTACAGTATTTTTAAATTAAAATAAGTTCAGATGTAAAATTTTAAAATGTTTCTATTTATAAGTAAGGGGTGAAATTTCCTCAATGTTGTTGTTGTTTTATGGGAACAATACATAGTTCCTATTTTTAAAGTTCACATTTCATAAATAACAAACTTAAAATATTTCAAAAATCAGATGCTAAATAAATTTATTAAATATTAAAATATAATATATTAAATATTAAATTATAATATAATATATATTAATTATT